ATATGCAGAAAAGCAAGTCATTTTTCCGGTTTGCTCTTAGCAGGTTTTCCCCATCTTTGTTATGATGAGATGCGGAATTGCGAGATATTATCCGTTTTTATTGGTTCTCTAAAACCTAAAAGTAGAGATTCATAAGATAATGATGAGTGAATAACACCATTAGTGGGGTCTGCGTGAAGTAGAAACAATGAAAGTACTAAGCAAGAAGAGATAAACTTAACATCAATTACGACTGCACAATTCACTCCATCACTTTTCCTGGCAGATAAAAATGTCGAGCGAGTTTCAAGAAGACTCATTGCCATTGAAGGATGACAGAGTGATTTTAACATGTGGCCACTTTAGAGGAAATAGAAGCTAATGTTGGCCAGATTCTTGACTGTTAGATTGGTCATTATTATATTGAATGGTAACAGGTGGGGTACAATCGACTAAAAACTTGTTGGTGTCTCTCTGTGATATACGTGTATCAAGACCATTAATTCTTAACGGAGAATAAGTGGCTGAGTGCTGATTGGCGGAATAAAATAAATTAGAAATGCTTGGACAGTTTATTTGAAAGTGAAAGTGAAAGTAGATATTTGGTAATGAAATGGGTAAAAACCTTAGATTCTAGTTGATGAAGCAGAATCACCCTATGTGAATGCATTGGGTCGCTAAACAATGCTTTAGCATTAATGCCATTCAGAGATGTGTGAAGGAGATATATTAATTTATTTAATATATGGAAACAATGTCAATGGTAAGAAGGATATTAAAATCAAAGAACTGCTCTAGAAATAAGTATTATCTGAGTTATTTTGTCTAGGATAAAGCCAAAGAATGATATTCGAAACCATTAAACATATATTATTATTCTAAACACTTAAACGATGTTCGTAGGGGAAGTGGGGAATTAATTGGTTATTGACCAAGAGAATGTATTTTTTCATGCCTTCATTCCTTTACATTTTCGAAATAGGACGATATCCATACGAATTTGCTTTCTTTGAACTGTTAAAATTGCTTACATTTTGTTAGGTGAACACCATATACACATTTAAAAAATCAATTTACATTTTTCGCAATATTAAGAACGTTATATGGCATTTAATATTCATGTCATTGTTGTTTTTTTCTACCCCCCTGGTTTTTTGTGATAGATTTCTGCGTCAGGATTATTGACCACGTGACCGCGGGGTAAGACGTAAGCATAATAATGATAACGCAACAAAAGAGAGGGAAAATCTTTACCTTTACGCCCATATGTCAGGGACAATTCCCAACTTGTCACAAGATACAGATTTGTATTATGTGATAGTCAACGTGAGAAGCATTCCAATCAATGTTTCTTTTTAAAAAAAGGCGTAAATTTGTAATCGCAGTATTAAAGAATATTGTCTATTCTTCTTTGAATGTTGAACGAGAAAAATCCCTCTTTAAATGGGGTTTCTTGACAGTTTGAAGCCATATTTTCCAGAGGCTTTGTAATTCTTGGCAAATATTTTAATAACAACATATTTTTGTGATATAATTACATTTTCATTTAGAAGATCTTTTATTGCGAAATGGCCGTTAATACGATTGTCTTGCAGATTGCAGCACTAACACATTGATTTCGATTCTCAATTTATGTTGATTTCTAGTCGCCTGGTGGCAGTTAAGATAAAATATATAGCCATAACTCTTTCTCGTCTTGTTACCATTATCAATTGTCAAATAATGATTTAAAAGATCTCAATCAGGCAATATTCAGTCAGTCGGTTTAATCGATAGTTGATCTTTGATTTGAACGATTCGCTTGATAATCAGTGGCCTTCCAAGTCTTCTAATCACTTAATACACTATCGATTTTTTTCATTGTTGTAGTGTTTGGTGATTACTTAACTTATTAATGATTCTGTAAAACTAAAAGTTGTGGTTTTCAGAAACAGAAAATGTAATTTATACTAGTATACTAAATGTATATACAGTGATCCCTCGTTTATCGCGGTAGATTGGTTTCGAGACTGGCCGCCATAACTGAATTTCCGCGAAGTAGGGACGCCATATTTACAGTATTTATTTAACGTGTATTTTGGACTTTTAAAATCCTCCCAGTACTGTTAACAACTCACCCATTACTGTACTTTATTAATAACAAGGACAATGTTAAGCAATAACAGTTTAGATTTTAAAAAAACATAAAGTTTGTTACTGTATTCAACACGATAGAAGTTGAAGTAGAATTTGAATGATGATGGTGATGAATTTTCTGCGCAGTAGAAATAATGATGATGAAGCTGATGATGATTTCTACTGTGCAGCCGATAATTGTATTTTACGTCTCTTCAGACGGCGGTGCCCTTTCTATTGCTATTTTACGCTTGTTTTGTTGTTCCTAGACCAGGAAATAATATTTGTTATTAATATTTTAATGGGTTTAATGAAACATTTTAAGTGTTCATATATTGCGATTTTTCTAGAATTTTCCAGAAACTCCGCGATATATTTTCCATATATATATTTTTTAAAATCTGCGAATTCGTGAATCCGCGATAGTAGAACCGCGAATTAGCAAGAGATCACTGCATAATCGTTTTTAAGTTTTTATTTTATGATCAGAGTGTAGCGTTTGTATTACACTTGGTCCTTCCAAGCCGAGAGAAGGACTAAAAGCCAACATCTTATTATTAAGCGGGGAAAAAAGTGATCAAAGATGGGGAGGGGAGTAGAAAAAAAGCAATGAAGAAAGGAAGAAAACAAGATAAAATGTAAAGAAAATTACCTAAAAAAACACCAAGACGCACACACACAAACACACAAACACACACACCCACACTCACGCACACGCATACACACAAACATAGATATGATAAAAATATAGTTTTAAGCTATGTTATATTTATGGGTAAATTTGTTCAATATTAGTGAAACAGAGAATGTATATATAATGATCAAAAACGAGTGTCGACAGTCTGTTTCATGCTTGAATCCAGTCTGAAGACGATCCATTAGATTTGCAGAAGATTATCCTCCAGTTTTACTACTAGAAAATGTCTCAAATATCAAGCTACGGGTTGATACATGACTTAAATTTTGATGAAATTATTCGAAAGACGTTGATGTTTGTGTTAGCACGTAGACATCGTGAACTAAGTTTTTGAGCGAACTGGCTGATCGCGCCACATTATCTGGTATCTCCCGAAAACATTAACTTAGGTACGCTCAGATTTATAGGTGTTGAAGGTTTTTGAAACAGGGATTCATCATCATCATCATATATATATATATATATATATATATATATATATATATATATATATATATATATATATATATATATGCCTACCAGAGTCATCTATCACTTCTACCCACCATCTGAAAACTGGCATCCAGGAGAACAATCTGGTGTTGGAGGAGGTTCCGATTCTCTACCAAGACCGTGAGTTCAGGAAGGAACAGGCTGTTATCTTGAGCTCAACACATTTATGGCATGGTATGTAGTATTAGTATTAATATTAGTAGTAGTAGTAGTAGTAGTGAGAAAAGAGTATAGGTATGAGTTAGTCTTGGTTGTAAATACCCATGGAATTTCTACTGACCCATCTGGTAAACTATTAAGAATAATGAAATCTCATAATTCAGCACGTTTCACGTTTGGCCTCTTCCACTTGCTATTTTTTCTTTATCAGTCCCACACTCACACCTCAAATATCTAATATCTTTTTTACTTTGTTATTTTTTTCAATTTCTTTTAGGTTAATCTTGAGTTCTGCCACAAACACCAATAAATTGATCAAAATATTTTACTTTTAATAACAATCAGACGTCAAGGTTATATTTATAATTTTAGATCTTCTATAACAGAATCTCTGACATATTTTCCCCAATTAATTCATCATTTTTTGAACCCTGTTTATTTGAATAATTTTCAATGTCACTGGATGTAATCCTACATGCTTGAGTATTTTTCTTCTTTGCTGTGTTAAGATATTGTTAAATGTTTCAATTCTTTTTCCAAAAGACGACAATTATTTTCTCGAGTTCGACATTGACATTAATTTTAACGAATATGTCACCGGCTTCTCTTATTTGATATTATATGACAAGATCCACTACATTTTATCTTAAATATTTTTTATTTCTCACTTGAATCGCAATTTTGTGCTTTTTTTAGTTTTTATTGGACTGTTTGTTTTATATTTTATCAATATTTTTTTTTTTGCTATGAGCGATTTTCCTGACACATTCTCTAAAGATACCTAACATTGTATTAGTATAGTCTCCAGCCATGATTCTCCTTCTTTTCTATTTCCATAGAGCCTGACGATATCTTGTCTCGAGGTTGGATATTATTGTTATTAATTAATCAATCGTTAGGATAATTTGAAGTCATTATTTATTTGCTTCTTATCTTTAGAGTTGTATGACATGCATATATTCAGTTTTTTATTTCATTAATCGTATTATCCAAACTTTGAAACATTTCGACATAGTATCTTCTTATACTTTATGCAGTGTCCAAGACATAGGGTACTATAACTACCAACGTCTTCCTATCCTTGGTAACTCTAAGTTTTGTCTTTTTACCATTACTCTGAGATGTTTTTTTTTATTCCAAGTTTGATAAGTCGGTATTTCGCTGTTTTATTCTGCCTTGATTCTATTTTGTGAGTGTCAGATTCTCTAATCCTTCTTTCCTCACTATGTATCCCAGAAATTCTAAATGTCTCTTTATTATAGTAAGTATAAACCTCTTTAAATATGCGCGCTATACGATAACATTATTCACACATGCAGATATATATTCCTTCTTCTGACAATGATACATCAATGAATCAGATATTAATTTACAAGGATGTAAGATGCTTGCTTATGTGATCTTGCTGTTGGGCTTGGCCTTAGATTTTAGGCCAATTGTGGCAGCCGGAAGTGACCGTTCACTTGACCATGCGGAAATTAATAAAAACAGATCGAATAGATTATTTTTGAAATTGACAGACCGAGACATACGTATGCATTCCTGCTGCTTTCTGTAGACCATCCTTACAGCAGAATCCGATATCCAAGCAATTCTATTCATAGAACTTACAGTCGAAATACACATCCAGACAAGCATTAAGCTACTAATTTTCTATCTATCTATCTCCGTTTGTCCATATCTATCTATCTATCTATCTATCTATCTATCTATCTCAGTTTGTTCACTACTATCTATCTATCTATCTATCTATCTATCTATCTATCTATCTATCTCCGTCTGTTCATATCTATCTATCTATCTATCTATCTATCTATCTATCTATCTATCTATCTATCTATCTCCGTCTGTTCATATCTATATATCTATATATCTATCTACAAATTTTCCCAGTAGAGATATTAATGAATCATTCAGATTTTATACTTACAAAGAAGAACATTTCGCTCCAAATTTGAAAATTAGGAAGTTACTGTAAAAAGTGACATCTAATTTTAACTGATCATGCAGTCACAATACAAAATACTGAAAAAAGTTTATTCTAACAATGTACGCTGATCAATGCCACCAGTGAGGTTTTGTAAGCGGGATCATCGGTAGTTTCGTGTATTTTTTTTCAAATAACTTTCAGCTATTCAACCAATAATTTCGTGATCAGACCCTGATCCACATACCAACAAGTGAATAATACTTCACTTTGGTTGGTTGATTTTAGTTCCGTGCAGATTCTTAATATTAATGGCAGACATTTGGAAGAGTATTGTTACAAAAATATATATGGGATACACACACTCACAATCCACCTTTTATATATATATATATATATATATATATATATATATATATATAAAACACTCACACATACATATATATAGATAAATATTATAAACATACACACATATATATATATTGGCATGTTTTCATTGAGATATGTTTCAGTGATTAATTTGTGTTTACTTATATATATATATATATATTTATTAAAGACATTTTTTTATGTTTAACGTTGTTATTTTATAGATACAAGTATTTAAGCAAATGCTCTGTTTATGATAAACAGTATTAAATAACATTTACGGGCCTGAATGTCCGAGAAATTTTCATAGAAAATATTCGTTCTTTGACAGGATTCGAACCTGCATCCTATACGGAACCGTCATATACGCTGACGTGCCTTAACCTCTAGGCTACAAAGAACCAATCGGTAGACAAGGTCGAAGTTACTGCTTATAAACCTTGTCTACCGATTGGTTCTTTGTAGCCTAGAGGACATTCAGGCCGGTAAATGTTATTTAATACTGTTTATCATAAACAGAGCATTTGCTTAAATACTTGTATCTATAAAATAACAACGGTAAACATAAAAAAAATGTCTTTAATAAATAAATTGTCGGACCTTGTCCATTTCTTAACATATGACGTCATTTGTTTACATTCGATACGCCAGAGCAGTTATGAATGTACGAGATTCATGGAAGATTGGAGTTTATAAGCAGCAAATTCGACCTTGTCTACCGATTGGTTCTTTGTAGCCTAGAGGTTAAGGCACGTCAGCGTATATGACGGTTCCGTATAGGATGCAGGTTCGAATCCTGTCAAAGAACGAATATTTTCTATGAAAATTTCTCGGACATTCAGGCCGGTAAATGTTATTTAATACTGTTTATCAGAAACAGAGCATTTGCTTAAATATTTGTATCTATAAAATAACAACATTAAACATAAAAAAAATGTCTTTAATAAATAAATTGTCGGACCTTGTTCATTTCTTAACATATATATATATATATATATTAAAAAATTGAAACTAAAACTTAGTAAAATTAATCATGAATACTGCCCAAATATATTAAGATGTTTATAGTAGATTGTTTAAAATATAGAGTTTTGTCCTAATAGTGTAATATTTATTGCCTAAAAATTCTTGACAACTTTACAACTTAGTTACTTCACTGAAGCGTTAGTGAAGCCAATCACAGTACTCAACTCAGCGTTCTTCATATCACAAGGAAAAAAATAACTTTCACAAAAACACATCAATTTTGTCTTTGAAAATGATAAGTACTTCAATATTTATCTCGAAATATACAAAAACCTGGTGGTGGCATTTTCTTATGTCTAACGTAGTCGTTAATAAAATAATATGTATCAACACCGTAATTTTCTCTATTCCTATTATAATGAGACACATCTTGCAGTGAATATGAAAGGATCCATTTGAAAAGAAGTATACAAAACTTGTCTAAATTATTGAATGAAACATGTCTCAAAACACACACACACACACACATATATATATGTGTGTGTGTGTGTGTGTGTGTATATATATATATATATATATATATGAAGAAATATAGTGTTAAGGTGTGCTATATTTATGGAATAAAGTGTTCAATATCAGAGATAGAGTGTGTGTAAATATAAAAGTGAAAATAGAAGTCAACATTTAGAGGCGACAGTCTGTTTCATGCTAGATGCAATCGTCAGGCCATGTGTGCTGTTATTTTTCTCGGCTATTTGTATATATATACGGGTCAGTGGTGCATTGTGGGTAGTCTAGTTTGGTGGTTATTTTACCGGAAGTCGTTTATTTTTTTATTTTTTTATTTGGGTTAAGTTATTTTGCTTGTTTTTATTTTTTGTTTTCACTTTTTATTTTTATTTCTCATCTTATATATTTATTTTTATTTTAACCGATGTTTTTATTAACGTAGTAAAAATTTGTTTATATCGCTTGTTTAATAGTTTTGTTTTAGTTTGGGAAGATAATTAAAGCTATTTATTCAATTTTAGGGTTGATTGTTGTAGTTTATTCTAACTATTATTTTGACGGGAACAGTTTTTAATTTGTTTATTACTTCATGTATTTATTTGGATTGATTATCTTTATTTGTTTTTTCTAATGGTTAGTTTATCGGGATAGGTTTATTAGTTTATTTATTTATTTGTATGAATTTAGGTCAATTTATTTTACATGTTATAATTAATACTGCATATTTTCTCTTTTCGGTTTTCGATTTTTAAGTATCGTAGTGTTTTTTTATCGTTATATAACAGTTATAGCTATTTTTTCGTCCGATTTGTGGTTTGATTTTTATAGTCTAACTAATATTTTGCTCATAATGGTTTGTTAATTTGTTCATTACTTACATTATTTATTTGGGTTTAGTGATTTTTTTATTCTATTTCGTCTATTCTAACAGGTGTGATTTGGTAATTTGTTTGGGTTAATTTATTTTGCTTATTTTATTGTTATCTTGTTTATTTATTTATTTATTTTTATTTTATTTTATTTTTCCGTTTTCGATTTTTAAGTAACGTACTAAAAATTTGTTTTCATGTCTGCATTTTGAGATGAGCTCCGATCGTTTATTTAATAATTTATTTTGGTCTGGGAAAGTAATGGTAGCAATTTTTTTCCTCTAAGGAGAGATTTCAAGTTTTTGATTGGTTGTTTTAGGCTGATGATCTTTTCCTTATTTTCCAAGATATTTTTGGTGTGATGTGCGTTTTGTTTTTAATTTCCCAGATATATTTAAAAAGCATTGTACTGTTCGCATATTTACTATCTGTGAAATATCTTTTGTGTGTATAATTTCTTTGTTTCCAGGGTCCTTCCGTTAATCCTATGTATGCTTTTTCTTCATTGTCTGTTGATTTTATCTTGGCTTGGTATATTACGTTGTTTTGTAAACAATTACCGTTTAAGAAACATTCGTTCTTTATTCTGCAGTTGCATGTGGGTTTAATTTGTTCGTGTGGTTTGTTGATAATTTCCCTGTTGTGCTTTTTTTATTATTTGTACCATGTTCTCGGTGCAACTGTAGCTGATTCTTAGTATGTCTTTGTTGAATATTTTGTGTAGGGTGCTTATTCTGGGAAGTGTTTGTGTAAGAGTTTGAAGAATATTTGTCTTACGTTTGTTTTTACGTTTTTGCTGTACTGTGGCTTGTACCATATAACATTTCTTTTCGTGTTGGCCTTTTTTTGTGTTATGTGGTGAGTATGTAAGTTTTGCTCGGTATGCGCTATTTTTTAGGGCTGTTTCGTAGTCTTTCTTAGCTTTGTTAAATATGGATTCATTGTAGGAATTGTCGGAAATCGATTTTGGTATCTGTTTGATTATAGAAGGCGGGTGGTTGGAAGATGTGTGTATGTAGAGCGGTTTATCATTAGGTTTTCTATATGGCTTATATGTGCCTTTTCTTAGGTTGAAGGTAACATCTAGAAAATCTACTTCGTTTAGGTTAGTTTTTAAATCTATGTCGAATGCGCTATTTAAAAAAAAAATCTTATTGCTTTTCTAGTTTTGTTTGTGTTTTGTTTGATATAGTTTCTTAACTTTAGAAGACCGTCGTCCCTGTAGAGTCTTGTGTCATTTCTATCTATTTTTTGCTTAGTTCGTGTAGTAAGTAAATACCTATGATTTCGCATACACACACACACACACACACACACACACACACACTTATATACATATATATATATATATATATATATATATATATATATATATATATATATATATAAATAATCCAAATGTAAAAGAATAAAGAATAAAATTTCAACGTTCAAAACATTAATTTAAAACAGGGCTCAATACAAAAGTAGAGCAATAAATCTTTATTAAGCACTGTTACATTAGAACATGTAAATATCTAGTACAAAATTGTACATTTTATTTCAACGTTAAATCATGTGCCACATGACGAAAAGTTGAACAATAATATATTTAACACATTCTCTCTCACTATATATATATATATATATATATTATGCACTGTTACATTAGAACGTGTAAATATCCACTAGAAAATTGTACATTAATATATATATATATATATATGTATACATTTCTTTCTCACTTTCTCTCTCTCTCCTATATATATATATATATATATATATATATATATATATATATATATATATAAAAGAAAGAGGTTGTAGTGGTTCCAACGGGAGAAAAGTATGTATATTAAAAAGAAGGAAGAGAGGTGCCGCAAAAAATATTATGCTTTTTTTACATAATGCAAAACAAAGCATAATATTTTTTTCTAAATAAATCCACATTACAACCAAAAACGTTTGGCACCTCTCTTCTCTTCTCTTCTTTTTTAATATATATATATATATATATATATATATATATATATATATATATATATATATATATATATATATATATATATATATAGAGAGAGAGAGAGAGCGAGAGAATGTGTTATATATATATATTATTTAATATCTATATAATGTAAATTCCTTATTCTGTTTAGATTATTTTTAAGGTGAATTATTAGTATCCAATATTTATGTGTAAAATTTTGCACTGGCAAAATTTCGGCCCAGTGTTCTTTAGGGTGTGGGTGATTAAGTCTTTTCATAATTTCCTTCCCTTCATAGTTCTTAGTAAATTGTTTTGCTCCCTCCAAATCCCTGTTCTGTCAACCATTTACACAAGCTCTATCGGCAGGGGTT